AGTCCAAGCAGCAATCCAGCTGCCCAGGCACCTGCACCTCCTCCACTGGGCTGAGTTGCTTTCTGGGCTCCCCTGACTGAACTCCTGAGGTCCCTGTTGCCCAAGCTCCCTTTACAGAGTGCTACATCCAGTTTCTCTGCCTGATTCTGACTCCCCCTAGTAGTAAAGTTAGGGGAAAATGTCTTTTTCAGGGTACTTCTGCTCCCCTCCCTGGCTTTATTTAAGAACTCTTAAGCTGTTGAGGGACTTGGTGTTTCTGACTGGTGAATGTTCCCTTGCAGATGCTAATTCAACAGAATTTGACCCCAAAACGGCTCATCCAGTGGTGAGTTTATGGTGACTTGCTTGTAGTACCCATGATGTGTGAGACTTCTCTGCAGTTTTGGCTTGGATTCTGGCAGTTTGTCCTTTCTAAGTCTCTCTTCCATTGTTTACTAGTCTGAAGAGAAAATGTCTTTGCCTAATTAACTGTGTAGCAGCTGCTGCTTCACAGAAGATTCCTGTGCTGATTATAGGTGAAACATGCATTTTATTTTTTGGTTTTTCTTTTTTTTCAAAGGTTTTGGAGAACTGATATTTATTTTTATTTATTTTTTAAACTTTTTAACTATGCTTTTTCATAAAGCAAGTTTTTTTCTAGGAGGTAAAAGATCCTTAAAGGGCAGTTTGGAAGCTAGCTGATTTCAAAGAGTGAATATTAAAGATTTGGTGATATCAGACTACTACTGCAGAGCTATTTAATTATGATCTGAGAGATGAACATAAACAGACCTGCACGGGGTCTGTGTAGCTGTTGACTGAGCCCGTTGCCTGTGCTGAAGCTTCCTGAACACCCACAAACCTTCCACACGTTCTGTGCAGCCTTTACTGGAATAACTCCACTAACTAACCTGCCTCTGTTGGGTCAAGATGATGTCCCTTGGGTTGGTTTGCCTGTTTTCTGTAGGGGTGTTGGGTTTTTCCCCCAGGGTCTGCCTGGGGCTGTTCCTCCTCCCTCAGTCTCACCGTCCTCTCCGAATGCTTTCTGCAGGTCATAGACATGCCTGAACATAATCCTGGGCAAATGGGTGGGACCATGAGGCTTGGCAAGAGAAGGACACTCTTCCAAACCAAGAACTCCATCATGAGTAAGGCATTTCTTACTTTTCTGGAGGTGTTTCCTGGGGATGATGAGCACGGATGGTGGGGAGGGGGAAGGGAGGCCTGGGAATGTTGGAGTGTCCTCGGACGGTGGGTGTTTGCAGACACTGTTCTCACAGTGAAACGAGGATCAGTGATTTTAGTCCCCTCTGGAAGTGGCAGATTCTGATGGATGTGTTCATAGGGACTTGTTAAATCTTAACATTTTGCAAATTCTTCAGCATTTGCTCTAGAAGTGTCTGTCTCTTGGTGCAGGGAAGCTCTACGGTGATCGCGATTTCTTGGAAGAGAGACATAGACACAGATTTGAGGTAAAAATGCTGTGTAGGTATTGAGCTGTTCTGTGCAGTCCAGACACCAAGAGATCAAAGGTTTTCTTGCTTCTGGTCGTCTAGGTCAATCCAGAATTGAAGAAGTGTTTTGAAGAGCAAGGTTTGAAGTTTGTAGGCCAGGATGAGGAGGGAGAGCGAATGGAAGTGGTTGAGTTGGAAGGTGAGTGCTAAGCAATGAGTCCATGGCAGTGGGTATTTACAAGGAGAAGTGTTTGGAGGGTAATGAACAGGTTTTTGTGTGGGACCAGTTCAGGCTCTCTCAGAATGATTCCATCCATAACATTGCACAGAGAAAAAGTCCCCTGTCCATTTAGGGATAGCAGGCTGGGGAGAAGTGTCGTTGCTGTCCTGCATCAGGGCTTCGAGGGCAGTGCAGCCACAGGCTTCAGAGACTTGGCATTAATACTTTCTGCTTCTTTCCTTTAGAGCATCCTTTCTTCGTTGGTGTCCAGTATCACCCAGAGTTCCTCTCCAGGCCCATTAAGCCATCTCCTCCATACTTTGGCCTCCTCTTGGCATCTGCAGGAAGACTCACACATTACCTACAGAAGGGCTGCCGGCTCTCCCCCAGGTGGGCTGAAGGGAAACCACCAGTCAGACCTTCCCCAGGGCAGGGCTGCTTCCTGGAGGATAAACTGGAGAACCCTCTTGGCCCAGAGTTACTGCAGGAGACCCAGGGGGTGTTGGCAGCACCTCTTCCTTCCACTCTTGGAAACCTCTTGCCTTGCATTTTGAAGTGGAGTGGTGCCACAGAGCTGCAGTGGGGTTCTGACTTCAGGGGGGTCACTGCCCTGGGCTGTGTCAGTCAGAGGGGTTTGGGACTGGGCTGCTCCAGGTGATCAGAGACCCTGTGGGGTTTTCCCCACGATCCTTGTGCAAGTCAGGTACAGGCTGGTCCTTAAGAAACTTGTTCCTGTTGCTGGTTTAAAGAACAGGCCCTGGTGGTTGCAGCTTCACTTTGGTTTTCTGTTTATGACTGAAGCTTTCTTTGGTCTCAGTCTGCAAAGCAGCTGAGGTTTTGGGTAGACTCCATGAGACATTTACTTCTGCAGCTCCCTAATGCCCTGTGGTTCTGCTCAGCACTTGGGGCAATAGCCCACAAATAAACATCACTTTGGTAGTGACCTGTTTTCCTCACAGAGGAGGACGTGGAGGATGTGCTTGTGTGACTGGAGCACTGAACAAACCTAAATGCAGAACAGAATCAGCCCTGAGTGTTAAAGTGGTGCAGAAGGGGCAGCGTTGGCTCTTCTGGGGTGAGCTGCAGGGCAGCTGCCCCACGGGGGTTCCTCTGGAGGGCAGCTGTTAGTCGTGCTCTGAGCAGGGTGTTGTGGGCAGATGCCTCGTTCTGCTGCTGAGGGTTGAGGGCTATTTTAATTTCCTGCTTTTGCACTTTTAAGTTTGAAATGTCTCTTCACAGCAGAGGAGCTGGAGGCTCCCCTGTACTGCAGCATCCTCAGTCGGTATCACCCTCTCTTGGGAGTCCTGTGATGTGGTTTTGTGGTGAGGATATAATCTAAAAATACTGGTGGCAGTTGTAGCCCAGGCTCTGCTGCCCTTTGTCCTGTGCCCTGGTGACTCTGCACGTTGTCAGGTCAGTCTCATCCCTTGCTGAGGCTTCCCTCTGACAGCAGCCTGGGGGAACAGACTCTGCCCTCGAGGGTGGGGCCTCTGCTGGGAAGGGTCTGGGCTGCAGCCTGAGCCTGCAGCAGGAACCTGCTGTGGCTTAACAAGGACAAACACAGAGCCCTGCAGCTGGGGACAGAGCAGCAGGAGCAGCTCTGCTGAGGAGGTTTGGGGGGCAGCTCTGCTGGGGAGGTTTGGGAGCAGTGAGCTGGGTGTGAGCTGGCAGCGAGGGAAGCACCAGCAGCATCCTGGGCTGGATGAGTAAGAGCACAGGCAGGAGGTGGAGAGGAGGGGTCGTGTCTCCTGACTTGGCATTTGTTAGAGCACATCTAGAATATTCTGTGCAGTTTGGGGTCATCCAGTACAAGTAAAACATGGATAAATTGGAGAGAGTTTAGTGGAGGGGCAGTGGGGAGGGGAGCACTTGCCCAGAGAGCAGAGGCTGAAGGAGCTGGGCTTGTTCAGCATGGAGAAGGGAAGACTTTACAGGGGACCTTAGAGAGATGTTCTCCAGAGGGTGGAAACGGGACCTTTGCAGCTGGGGGGGATGGGAGCCAGGGGGCATAAGCTGCAGCAGGAGAGGGTTGGACTGGCTGTGAGGCTCCATGAGCCCAGGCCCGTGTCCTCATGGGGTGCCCAGAAGGCTGCGTGGTCTCTGTCCATGGAGGGTTTCAGAGCGTGCCAGTGAAGCCCTCAGCAGCCAGGCCTGGCCTGGTCCCTGTCCCTGTGTGTCCCTGGCCAGCTGAGCCACTCTGGGATTCAGAAGAAGCTGCTTCATGGATTAAAGGCAGTCAGCTGCTACTGGGCAGCTGAGGTGGAGCCACTGGTGCTGGTGAACCAGGCTCCTGGCTCCTGCTCAGTGGATTTCATTTAAAATAACTCTGCCTCATACCTGTTAGATGCATAATCATTTTCATTCACAAACCTCACAGCTGATGGTCAGCCCTATTTCCAGAGGGACAGCTGCACTCAAATGTAGGTGCTCAGCTTCCCAGCCCCAGCTAGCAGCACCCACTGCTGAGCCCTGCTCACTGCTGGAGCACTGCTGGGCCCACAGAGTGCTCGTGCTCATCACACAAAACCTTCCTGTGTTCCACAGGGACACCTACAGCGACAGGAGTGGCAGCAGCTCACCTGACTTGGAGATGACAGAGCTGAAGTTCCCAGCAGTAAATCACGACTGATTCCTGGTAACTTTTAATAACTTCAACCTCTTTTCTTATGGAGGAAATAAAACCTCCTTGCCCCATCTTTCCTCCCAGCACTTGAACGTTTGACAGTGGCTGGCAGAGACCTGGCTGTGCTGAGGGGGTGTGACAGATGTGGGTGGGGATTTCCTTGGCAGATTGACACCCCCTGAACTATTAAAATGCACGTGGGAGTTTGAGTTTCAATTCCAATAAAGAAACAAAGCACAGACACAGCACGTTGCTGGGACTGGAGGCAACACTGAACAAGGGGTTTAGGAAGTTTGGTGTTTTGGGAGCAGTCTCTCACCTCTGCCAAAGGCCCCAGCCCAGGGGACAGTGAGTTCCCCTGTCACCAGCAGGCTGCAGCTCCCAGCTGGACTGGCTGCCACGGCCGTGCCTGCTACAGGGGCAAACCAAGAGCTGAAGAATCCTCTCTGAATTTTCCTCCTCCTGAAGTTTCTCTGGACCTTTGGCTCACTGCCAGTGTCCAGTGCCAGGCCTGGGTGCTGGGCTGGTCCCCAGTGGCTGGGAGGTTGTCCCCAGGGCTGGCAGGCACAGGGCTGGTGGCACCAGCGTGGGGGCAGCTGGGGAGGGCAGGGAGCTGGTCCTGGCTCAGCTGGGCCCCCTTCATTTAAACACCAGCTCCTGCAGGAGCCTTCAGAGGGCTGTGGGAACTCTTCATGTTGCCACAGTGCCCCTGGAGAGCTCGGGGACACCCGTCCTGGGGGTGTCTGCCCCATGTGCTGTGCCTGTCTGGGGATGGGTCACCCTGGGGCTGCTGCGTGGTTCCCCCCTCCTGCTCCTCTCAGCAGTTCCCTCTTCTCTCTCAGCAGTTCCCTCTTCTCTCTCCCCAGATGTGTCTCCACTGAAGAGAAGAGTCCACTTGGGATTTTCCAGGCGCTCTTGCAGCAGTAGCTTGAACACTGTCAGCTTTGGGCTTTCTTAAGTTATGGTTTTATCATTTTTGTTATGAAATCCCATCCCTTTATTTCCTCAGCTCCTCTGTCCTTGATCTTCTGCGTAAATCCTCCTTGTTTCTGGAGGAGAGCTCATTGCAGCACATGCACCTCTAGTCTTCCTTCCAATAGCACCACCCTGGAGATAAAAAGCAAAGTGGGGTGTGGGCCGTGGTGCTGGGGGGACCCGCCCACGGCAGCACTGGTGGGAGGCTGTCCTGGGACACCGACCCAGGAGCTGCTTCCTGCAGCCCCTGCTCCCCCCCAGGCCTCAGGGGAGCTCCTGTGGTGGGCACTGGATTTTGGGGCTCACTGAGTTGTGGAGCTGTGCTGCA